CAATACAGCAACAACATGATGTTACAGTGTAGTAAAAAGATCTTGGTATGAATCTGTATTTGAGTTTATTGCATAACAAGCTCTACCCTGCTGACAAGGACACTGATGAATGCTTCACTATTAGTTTCACTAGAAACCTCAACATGCCTGAAAGTTGACTAACACACACAGATACTGACTTACCCAGACCATTTCTGATCAATGACAGTAAAATGAAGTCTCTGGTTTATGCTATCTATATATGTAATCAAAAACCATTTTCAAAACGCCTAGTTTTACATCTCACAGATTTTGGATCTGCTTTAAATATATTTTTAGTAACATTATGGTGGCCATCTCAGAGTTATTCCATTGAAAAATCTTGTAAATTGATAAGAATAACCAGAGAGAAGTTTCAAAGGATGGTGGAAATTCCTAGAGGAAAATACCTCTAGGAAATTCCGTGAGGAAAGTACATCTAACATAAAACTGATTAAAAAAGCAAATTCAAGGGAATTACACTAAGCAGCAGCACAAACATTTAATGGTGCAGCTTAAAATGTTCACATTTTTATAAATCATCCAAGGATTGCTCTTTATTTTATTTGTAATGAAATGAAATATGAAACAAGTTTCTACAGCCAGAATAAACACGGATGAATGTGGGGCACACCCTCAGTCCTCCCGCAGTGCCAGAGGCTCTGGAGGTGAGGTAATGCCAGCCCTGACGTTTCTCCTGCCTCCCCAACAACCTGACCCAATGTTGTCTCTGGAACACGTCTGAGAGTGACTTTCAGGCTACATCTGCAGGATGTAAAGGAAAGAAAGGAAAAAAAGAAAGAAAGGAAAGAAAGGAAAGAAAGAAAGGAAATTTTCTGAAGATTTTTTTTCTGACCTAAGGCCATCTGTTAGAGCAGTGTTTCTGTAAAGCCAAAATTTTCATTATCAGCTCTCTCATTCTCCAGCACAGGATGGATGCCTGGACTAGACAAAGAACCAGGAATGGTCCTTGACCCACACCACAATCTGAACAGGACCAGGGCATGTCTTTGGAGAATGCTAACTGGTGAGAACAAAACTAATACAAGAAGTAAGCTAACAGATCTGTGTGCTAGACCTGATCAGTGCAGACACAGGTTTTGTAGCCCACAATGATCAAGGGAACATATGGATTATCAAACAAAAATTTATGTCGTAACATTTTCTTTGGGTCAGCTCCATAGATTACTTAAATGAAACTTCATGAAACTTCCATGAAACACGATGGAAAGTTATATTGCAGGAAGCAGAGTGTGTCTCACCCAGGAAAGAAAAAAAAATCCTCGTGAAATGGCAGGATACAAATTAAGATTATCAAGCTCACCTCATTCTGCCTGCACAGGCAGCTGAAACAATGCAGATTTTCTTTTGCACTTAGCCAGCTTCGTTTTAAGCAAGCTTTAGAGACAAAACTTGCAGTAATTTCAGTGGGACCTTTGTCTGTGTACGGTATGCAGAACAGAGCCCTCTCCTGGTAAGCACTAGAGATAATTGAGGACATCCCTGGCACCGTATTTGGCACTGCCTGCAGCACATATCTCTGTGATGAAGTATTGAACGTAGGCACTCAAAATAAAATATTAGAAAGCTCAGCTATTTGGAGCCATGGAACCTTATGATTGAGGTCAGATTTGTTTGGATTAAAAAATATATGGAAATCCAAGTAACACTGAAATGATGGCATACTTGAAAACTGAAACCAAAAAAATAGGTTATATAACATACTTAAAGGCACAGTTGGCATTTCAAGATCACAATGACTTGCCAGTTGTAACCTGTTTTTGAACCCACAGCTGAACTCTGCATGTCGAATTACTGAAAAGGGTGGGTCACCTTCTTTTTAAACCTGAAATCTGATAACCAGGTCAAAAGAACCCCCATTCATTCTTTCTTTTTATGACTATAAAGCCATGAAGCACCAATAATAACCTTAAGTGTATAGATCAACACTCTTTGCCTAATTAACATGCTTTTGGATTTCATACTTGAATCTGAAAATAAGAAACCATATTTCAAAGCTCTGTTTTTGCAAAACAAAATTTGCAACAGGCACCTAATCTGGATGCAGGACATGGTAGGCACTTAAATAAATCTTAATAATGATCCATTGCCAAAATACTGGCTCTCTGTCATTAGCCTTTCTCAGAATAACTTTACTATAATCCCTTTGCTTAAACAGCACACAACCTCGTTGTCACTGAGATGCAATGCACAAGAATATTGGTTTAATTTTAAAATTATTTATTAATATTCCAAACATCATATTGTTTTTTAGCCACATATGCAAACACAATTCTCCAGAGCCACACTACTTATGGCTGTAACCCCACTAGATTTCACAAGGTGAGTAGGGTTGGGCCCGTAGCATTTGCATGGAAGACTTCCAAGGAAATTCCAGGTTACTCTATGAAATGGTATTTGTGCAGGGTGGCATTCTTCTGCTGACGCAGTTCTGAACCAGCAGAAAGAATATGATCACAAGTGCTGCCTTTAATTAAGAGGTAAAACCAAGGATACTGAGCACTTGTGGGCATTAAACACTCTATGGCAGTTTTTGCCAGTGTAGGAGTGCCTGGCCAAATACCAGTCCAGATAATTACATCCTGCCTACTTACATTCCCATGTTGCTTTAAATGGATAAGGCATTATTCTTCTATTCTGGTGTAAAAGTGAATCCTGCTGCCCTTCCTTGGGCTCTGTTAGAACTATTTCTAGCATGACCTTCTCCATGGTCACACCGAGTCACTTATGTGAACCAGTGCATTGCACTACATTTTGGATTTGCCGCCTTCTGAAATCACTTCCGCTGAGCTCATGGGAATTTGCTTCAGCCTAAGGACATTGATTCAACCAATATCACAATTTAATTACTGCCTGTAAAAGTCATACTTAAAATAAATCTCTACAAAAAATTGTCTGATTATCAGATCAGTTTCTGTAGGACTCCCCTTCAGTACATGTGATGCTCAGTTTCAGCATGACCCCGCCCATCCTCACCAAAATCAACAGCAAAACAGCAGCATGGTTCAATGGCATCAAGACCAGGCTCCTTATGGGGAGATTTGTCTGGGGACCATACCATGTACCAGCAGGGCAGGCCTCCCACACCTCAATTTGAAGCAAGTTACACTGAACAAGGATATAGATAATATTTTCAAGTCCGCTGTACATTTTAATATAGAGCGCAACAAACGGTTAAGAGCTTGCTTTGAAGTGACATGTCTATTAAAACAACCAATGTTACTGCAGGACTGTTCCCCATAACAGGAATTTGCGTCATAGCAGTGGAAGGAAACCAGACTTCACAAAACCTTCATTACCATGTTTGAGTATCTCACACTAGACTGCCGTGCTGCCACTCACCAAAGTCCCCTCAAAAGGAAGGAGTTGTTAACATGTTTGCCTGTACAAGGAGTTTGTTAGCAAGATGGGTGCTGGCATTGGTCACAACTTAGTCTGTGGCAGGGTTGTCAATCATCATTATTCCTACAAATCTGAGTTTTCTCCCCTTCCAATTACTCTCTAAACTCTCATTTTCAAAATTAATTTCCTATTTCTGGCTCGTCCTACACTATGTCAATTTGAAGGCTGGCTTTAGAAGGCTTTTTTAGTTTAAAAGTTTTTTTAGCTTTATTTGTGTAGGTCAAAAGAGTTTTCCAAATCTGTTCTCTTTCTGAGTGGCGAGTCTCCCAAGACAGCAAATACAGGGTTTTTATAGACTTGTTTTCATGATGATTAAGTAACCTAAAATTGTTTAGAAGAAAGATGACCGTGTTACTGTAGTTCATTGAATGCAAATCATGAAATTCAAAGGCTTGAGTAAAGTTAAATAGCTTTTAATAGTATCACCAAATGCAAAGTGAGAAAAGAGAAAGCAGGTAGGAAGAAATTTTCACAAATCCAGACCTTTTCCCCCCTTCTTTCATGTGACTTGCTGACCTCAAAAGCTTCTAACATTCATGACTTCTGAAGCCAAAGACTTTTCTCTCACATCTCTCTCCAAATATAGGGCCCAGCTTTTGCCTCCTCTGTTAAATCTTTTACCTAGACCCTTTGGAGAGTGAAGTTAACTTGACAGAAAGAGGGTGATGCAGCTGGTTGAACAAGAGCCGCTCAATCCGCTCAGTGAAACTATAGTCAGAAGATAATACAAGGTGAAGGGTAAGAGTATGAAATGTGACTAAGCAATTAGGGATTTTCTTCCGCTTCTCCACACAAAGGAGCGAAGAGGACCAAATGCAGCTGCTGAATTTCTTGCAGAGAAGGGCGTTCAGTTTCAGGGCAGGAGAGGACTTTGCCTTCATCCACACTGACCAGCTTGAGAGAAAGCAGACGAATGTATCCTGTAAAAGTGTACGCCGACCAGTACTGGCGTGTAGCACTTCATTACACTTGATCGTTCAAACTCAGGATTACTTTATAGCGCTGGTTTCTTCCAGAAAACGTGTGGACTTCACTACCTGTACTCCAGTGGATTGGCATTAATCAACCCTTCAGGGCCCCCTCCTTTGCTCCCATCACTACTAACTGCAGATGTCAGGGAGTAGCGAAGGCACAAGGTCCAGGCCCCGGGCTGCGAGGCCGAGGACGGCGGGAGGGACACTTTGGAGCTGTCTGGTGGCCGGGTCAGCGGGCTGTCCGTGCTCACTGCGGTGTTCCGAGCCCGGGGCAGGGCAGTGCCGGCGAGCTGAGCGGGGCAGCGGCGGGTGGGCAGCGGGGCTGCCGTGCCGGGAGGGGCCGGCACGGGGAGCAGCCCCTGCGGCAGCTCCCGGCACAAGTGCGGAGCGGCGCCCCGGGGCTGCGCTGCCTCCCGGCTCCTCGCTCCTCACCTCCGTGCTCCCGGGGACGGCCTTTTTGGGCGGGAGGGCGGGGGGTTACCTTTTCTTAGGGAAGTCCCGTCCCTTGCCGGGGAAACTTTTTTTACGTTCCTGTGCGTGAGAGGCAACTAGTTGCACTCAGTGAAGTGCGAGGAGTGTTTGGCTTCTCCCGTACCAGCCTCCTCCTCCTCCATCTATCCCCCCCGCCCCGAATTTCCCCTCCCGTTTTGCTCCGAGTTGCGCTTTATTTGTGTGTGCAGAAAGGGGTGGGGGGGGGGGACGACTTGTAGGGGGGATGTTCTGTTTTTGCCAGAGGAACAGTGCAAAAAGGGAGCCTCGGCTCGGAGAAAGTACCAGAGTAAATAAATAAGGAGCGGCCTTAAAATAAAGGTAGCGGCATATCCCGGCAGCGAGAAGGTGAGTGCCTCAGTTCCCCGCGTCTTCCTCCCACCCCTTCTGCTCGGAGGTGGAGGAAACGGGTTCCCTGCCGCATGTGCATGTGTCCGTGGAGGGGGTGTGTGCGTCTGCTCGTATTTAGCGTTTATTTAGCGTTTATTTTCGTGTCGGTTCGATGACAGCAGCAACAACAACAACAACAAAGTTGCTGTAAAACAAATGTGATGGGAGGGAGCAGCCGGGCCGTCCATCGCGGGGTAGAGACGAGCTTTTATCCCGGCCCCACGCGAGTTTAACTGCAAAAAAACCAAATTGGTTTTCCGTGCCGACGGGGTGACTTTTTCCACGCCCAGCCGGACTTTCTGCCTCTGTCCAGGTGACATTCCCTGCCGTTTTGCCCTCACTGCTCTTCGGCTGGGTGTTCCCGGGGCTGCTGGGGTAAGCCCCAAGACAAGGAGCAAGCCGCGACGGCTGCCGTCGCACCGTTCCCCGCTTGCGCCTCCCGCCCACTCCCGGTGCGGCGGAAACGGGGGGCCCTGGCTGCGCCCCGAGAGCAGCCGGGGGCTGCCGGCCCGCCTGCGGTGGCCGACGGGGCTCTGCTGACTGCCAGGTCGCTCTGCCGACCGCCTGTCCCTGCGAGGGCTGGCGGCGGGGCCAGCGGCAGCTTGGAGGGAGGCTATGGGGAAACAACTTTTTTGGGGGCGGCAGGGTCCCCTCCGGACGGAGCGGCATGAAAACACGCGGGGGTGGTAGTCCCTTCCCGAAACCCCCGCTCCTTCGGCGAGGGTCCGGGCAGCGCGGGGGCGAGGCAGCCCGGCCGAGACGCGGGGGCAGCGGCAGAGGAGTCGGTCGGTTCCGCCGCCCTCGGCCCCGCGGTGCCCCGGCGCTCGGGGGTCTCCGCTGCCCGCCTGGCCCGGGGCGGAGCGCTGCGGGCGTGCCGCGCTCGGGTGCCGGCGGACGGGGCGCGCTGCCTCCCGCTGCGTCCTGGCCGGCAGCCGCCGCGGGGCTCCGGCCGCCGCCCTTC